CCCCCAGCAGACCAGGGAGATGCGGAGCAGCTTTTCTCAGCAGACACCTCAGTTTGAGAATAATACCCTGAGGGAAGTGAGGTGTGGGAGAATAAAACTGAGCTCTGGAGAAATGTTTGGCTAGAGTTTCCCCTACAATATGTACCAGTTCCGACTTACATACAAATTCAACTTAAGAACAAACCTACAGTCCCTATCTTGTACGTAACCCGGGGACTGCCTGTACTACAGAAAATGGCCATTGCTTGGGTTTTTTTCTAGTTAGTGTGACTGTTTTACTGTACAGCAATCTGATGTAGAATCATAAAATACTGAAACTGAAAGGGACTTCTAGAGGACATAAAGTCCAGTCCTATGCTCTTACTACAGGACCAAGCACCATCTAAGGGTGCGTCTATATAGTAAGGCTTAACTTGGAAAAAAAACTACGCAAATTGAGCTACATAAATTGTGTAGCTTATTTCAAAATTGGGAGCATCTAAACAGCACTTATTTCTAAATAGAGCACTCTTTCTCTGACTTCCCTTACTTTTCATACAATGAGGGTTACAAGAGTCGGAGTAAGATGTCCTCCAGTGTGACAGTATTTTGACATTATTTCGATGTAAGTGCCTACTATGTAGACGCAGACTAAGTTATTTTGAAATAATGTTGCTGTGTAGATGTACCCTAGATCATCCCAGATAGGTCTCTATCCAATTTGCTCTTAAATATCAACAGTGATGGATATTCTACAACATCTCTAGGCAACTTATTCCAGTGTTTAACCACCCTGACAGTTAGGAAGTTATTCCTAATGTCCAACCTAAACCTCCCTTGTTGCAATTCAGGCCCATTGCTTCTTTCCTATCATCAGACGCCAAGGAGAACAATTTTTCTACCTCTTCCTTGTAACATCCTGTCATGTCCCCTCTCAGTCTTCTCTTTTCTAAACTAAAAAACCCAGTTATTTCAGTTTTCAGAGGTCATGTTTTCTAAACCCGGGATGGGGAACCTTAGGCCCAGGGGCTGGATGTGGCCCTTGGGTTGCTTGGATCCAGTCCCCACCCCCTGAGGCTCAGGGCTGCAGTTGGGGGCCATGTCGGTGAGGGTCTGGTTGGTTTTTTTGCTTCTCACGTATGTGGCCCCTGACTGATTTTTTTGGGGGGGGGGTGGATCAGCAGCCCCCAACCCTAAAAAGGTTCCCCACCTCGATTCTAGACCTTTAATCATTTTTGTTGCTCTTTTCTGGACCTTCTCCACATCTTCCTTGAAATGTGGTGCCCAGAATGGGACACGGTACGCCAACTGAGGCCTAAACAGTGCAGAGTAGAGAGGAAGAATGACTTCTCGTGTCTTGCTCACAACTCTTCTGTTGATGCATCCCAGAATCATGTTGGCTTTTTTTTTTTCAAAAGTGTCACACTTTTGACTCATATTTAGCTTGCGATCCACTATGACCCCTAGATCTCTTTCTGCAGTACTCCTTTCTAGACAGTTGCTTCCCATTCTGTATGTGTGAAACAGATTGTTCTTTCCTAAGTGGAGTAGTTTGCATTTATTCTTATTGAACTTCATTCTATTTACCTCAGACTATTTCTCTAGTTTTTCCAGATCATTCTGAATTTTGACCCTATCCTCCAAAGCAGTTGCAACCCCTCCCAGCTTAGTATCATCTGCAAATTTAATAAGCATATTCTCTATGCCAATATTTAAATAGTTGATGAAGATGTTGAACAGAACTGATCCCAACACTGACCCCTGTGGAGCCCCACTTGTTATGCCCTTCTAGCATGACTGTGAGCCGTTAAAACTACTCTCTGAGAACAGTTGTCCAGCCACTTATGCACCCACCTTATAGTAGCCCCATGTAGGTTGTATTTCTCTCGTTTATTGATAAGATCATGCGAGACCATATCAGATGCTTTCCTAAAGTCAAAGTATACCATGTTCACCACTTTTCCCTTATACACAAGACTTGTTAAATCTATCAAAGAAAGCTATCGTATTGATTTGACATGATTAGTTCTGTACAAATGCATGCTGGCTGTTACCTTTTACCTTATCTATAAACCATCATATATTTTATAATTGTCATATGATAATTTTTCTATCTACTTTTAAGTGCATAGGAGATAGCATGTACCAAAGAGTTTAATATTAATACGTTAAGTTATTCACATTTCTTAAGGAACAAGAGCTCCCTCTTCTGGATTAGAACTA